CCCTCAGTTAGACCCACACTCGGAGAACTGTGCACAGTTCCAGTCTCCGTATCCCTCAGTTAGACCCACACTCGGAGAACTGTGCACAGTTCCAGTCTCAGTATCCCTCAGTTAGACACACACTTGGAGTTATGTAGTTTGGTCTCAGTAAGATGAAGATGTTCAGAACCTGGAGAAAGTCAAGGAGCATTAATGAGATTGATTCCAGAACTAAGAGGTTCGAACCATCAGGACAAACTGAACAGTGCGAGGCTCTTGTCTCTCAGAAAATAGAGGCTGATGGGTGACCTGATCGTGATGTTTAAAATTCTGAAAGGAGTTTTGATCGGGGAGGTGTAGAGAAGATGTTTCCAGCTTTGGGGGGAGGGGAAGACTGGAAAGAGGGGCCATCGATAGAAGATGGTCCTGAATAAATCCAACAGGGAATTCAGGCGAAATGTTTTCCCACAGACAGTGTGGGGCACACTCCCACGTGGAGTTGGCGGTGGGGGGAGAATGTGGGACTTGCGCCTACTGGAAGTGGGGGGGGAATGTGGGACTTGCTCCCACAGGAGGTTGGGTGGGGCAGAATGTGGACTTGTTCCCACAGGGAGTGGTGGGAGAAGAATGTGGGCCTTGTTCCTGCAGGGAGTTGGGGGGGATGTGGGTTCTTGCACTCAGAGGGAGTCGGAAGGGTGGAAGCTGGTAAATGTGGGACTTGATCCTGCGGGGAGTGGGAGGGAATGAATCATGTCTACGAATTGAAGTGGAGGGGAGGAAGCTGGATAATAATAATGAAGAAAGGAATAGAAGGAGTGGTGGTGGTGGTGGGGACAATAGATGGGACTGGTTGATGAGGCTGGTTTGGTTGTTGGTGAGATGACAAGCCTGTGTCTGTGTTGTTGGCATCAATGGGATTTTGGTGCTGGCTGTGGGTGAATTGTCAGCCGCTGGGACAAACTATTGTTCACTTCCATCCAGCAACTATCCAATAGAGGCAAAAGTGCAGATTTTTCTAACGATCCAATTGTTTTCTGTATTCATATCAAACCTGGCATCTCTGAAACCTCAGTGGGACCCGTACCCAGACTGCCCAGCTGCAGGGAACATTGGGGAGTCCATTTTGTGGGGGTCACACTTTCAAACACACTCACTCATAACCCCCTTCTCTCTCTCTCTCTCTCACACACACACCCTCTCGCACACTTCTGAAATAACAGCACAGAGACCGGTATCCTATAACCAAGTCACCCTTTATTTACACTGATCCAGCTCCCTCAGAGCCAGCTCTCAGAATGAACAGAACCTCCGACACGCCTGTTTATATCTGTCAGCCAAGGCTGCCTGATTGTACCAGATTTAACAGCCCCAATCAGGGAACTCATACTCTATGAGGTCCACCTGGCTGAGCCCATTACAATCACTGTAACAACCCCCCCCCCCACACACACACACAAACTCTCTCTCTCTCACATACACAAATATACACACACTCACTCTCTCTCACACAGTCTTTCTCTCTCACATACACATACTCTCTCTTACATACATTCATTTTCACACACAATCTCATGTACACACACACACTTACACACGTTCATTTGCACACACCTACAGTCTCATGTGCACACACATTACATATACACACTTTCTCTCACACACACTCTTGAGCACACTTTTGCATGCACACACTTGAACACACAATTGAGCACACTCTCACATATACGTGCACACACACTCACATATACATACACAACAACACAGATGCAGACTCACACAAATACACACACACATACTGATGTGCATCTACACTGTCTGTCACTCACACGCACAGAGTTATACACATCATCTCACACAAACAGACATTGTCTCTCTCTCTCTCTCACACACACACGCTCACTCTCTTGGCATACACACTCAGTTACACACACAATCACACATGCACTCTCACACACATTTAGACACACATACAATCCCGTGTGCGCGCGCACACACTCGTACATGTATATACATATTAACACTCTCACGCACGCACACACATACACACAGTCTCTCTGTCTCACATTCACAGCATGCTGTAATGCAGGAGACATTGTCATCGTGGGATATCTCCCTCCGTCACCTGCACGATCCCCCCCACTGCCCACCTCTGTGTGCCAGGTGTGTCCACCATCATGGCACCTTCCTCTACCCCGCCACTGGTCACCAATCCAAAAAGGCGACAGCCTCCTCACGGCCCAGATGGCCATGCTCCAACTGTCCATCGAAGCAGTCACTTGCTGTCTGCAGAATCCCGTCATGACCAAACACATTGTTCAGAAAAGTGACATTGAGCTGGACCAGAATTCGTAGTGTTCCCTCTGCCTTTTCTCCCACTGTTCGGCTGCTGGCAAATTCCTAGAGTTTTGGACAGTTCTGGAATATTCCTGGAATGGTTCTGGCACACGGTCAGCTTCCTTGACCCTCTGATTATCAGAAGTCAGTTTTTAAACACTTGGATATATTGGGGGGTGGGGGGGTGGGGCACGAAGTAAAATCTAAGTGGTCCTGTCATGTTCTCCCCATAGCCCATCTCTCCACATAACTCCAGTCTCACTCGCAACGACCCCCCAGTGTTGAGAGATCCAGGTCCCTTTAAGGTTTAAACAAATCACCACTGAAGGGGATCGAGGGCCTTGTTTTCAATCTAGAGGAGGCAAGGGGATCCAGAATACGAATTGTGGAAACCGTTGTTTGTGCTAAACTGCAAATTCACAGTGAAACCCCAGCAGAATCCTGAAGGTCTTTTGCTGCCCCTCATTCAATGAAGGGCTATTGGTCTGTTGAAGGTCAATGCAATGTCCTGGCAATTTGTGGAAAGGCTTGAGAGAAGATTGATCCAAATGGTTCCTGGGAGCAGGGATTTTAGCGAGAGGATTCTGGGGCTGTTCCCCTCAGAGTGAAGGAGATTGGGTCTGACTGAGGTGGAGCAGATGGGGACAGACAGGGAGATGAAGGAAAGCTGCTCCCATTTGCTGATAATATAAAGACCAGGGGAGACAGATTGAAGATCTGGGTCAGATATACAGAGCAGGGATTGTGAGGAAGGACTGTTATACGCAGTGAGTAATAATAATCTGGAACTCACGGCCTAAGAGGTGGGGTGAAAGGGCTGATGCTTAATGTTTTTAACCAGAACATGGAATGATGGGAAGAAAGTAGGGGATTGGGACTGGCTGGATTGCTCTACAGACAGAGCTAGCTTGGAATGGATGGGCCAGATAGCCTCCTTCCTGTGCAGAAATGACCCTGTGACGGATTGATCTCACTGTGGTGACCCCAGGGAAGGTGGGCCTTAGTCTTTTGAGCCTTCTCACTTGTTTTGGAAGCTGGCACCATTCCTCCTCCACTCCCAGTGGAACTGGCCAGGTTCGTTCCCACCCCTGCCTCTTTGTTCCTGACTAGGCCCTGGTAACCCTCCTCTGTATCCCCCCCCTTCCCAGACCTTTTCTGTATTCTCCTACTCACCCCCTTCCCAGGCCTTTCCTGTATTCC